CTTGACAGGCGCACTTCAACGGTCACCTACCACCGCCACCTGCCACCGTCATCACCAGTCGTAGAGACGGCTCCGACAAAAGGGAGCAGTGGCGGTTCTGACCAGCAGAGGGGATGACACCCGAACTAGCAGGAGACTAGAGGTAATCGTACCCGACCTGACAGAAGCTTAGGAGTGAGTGCACGAGGTGGCTATAAAAGGCTCCTTACCCCCAAGAACAAGGTACGTGAACTTTGCGCCATCTGGTTTTATCTTGCCTTTGAAAGAAATTCTAACTTGAGCTTCGGAGCATTCATACCGGGTTCCCCCTAGAGCTTCCTCATCTTCTCTGTTTCAGGCTCCCTGTAGCTCCGTTCAAAGGCAAGGTCGTTGACAGTTAGGACCAGCCGGATTGCGCACCATCACTATTGTTGGCTAGAATATCCCCATTTTGGAATTTGGTTGTCACAAAGTGTAATTTAAAATGTTACATTTCTCCTCATTCAATTCACTCTCATTGAGTCTTATATTTAGGTATTAACTCTCATTCTTTCATTGAAACCTATATTAATTAACTACGTTAAATAAAAATAAATGTGACAAAGAATAATTGTTTTATTAGTGATAGAAATAAAATACAAATTTAAAACTAACTCCAAATAGAATTATTTTCCTGTTTAGTGGTGATTCAACAATTCAACCTTTTGGGTCAAGATGTATCAACCCTTAAATGTCATAGTTAAACAATAATAAAAATTAAAAAGACGAAAATACACAAAAGTATAAAAACACAAATTCTCTAACATCACATATCCATCATATTAAACAATATTAAATGTGACAAATAAGAATAATTTTTATAAAATAGAAAAATCATTTTGCAAACATATTATTTACTATCACCAATACAAATTGTCACATGAAAGATACATGCGCACTTACTAGTGAACCTAAACAGATAGATTTTAGCTAACAGAGCCAAGCCTCAACACACAATGGAAGTTCTTTGGACCAATTCCATAAGAGTTATCTATGCACCGACTTGTTATAGGAAGTAGAGAGTCTTATTATAAAGCACATCTGTAGGCTGGTGGAGTACGTAGAAGTTATGGTCTGTGGAGCTTTGATAGCTGAGAGACTGCAAATCAATGCCTCTAGGACAGTGATTAGCCCTTATCAGATGAGTTAGTTCTTTAAAGGGACAACCTTTTTTATATGATGTGTGCTCAAATCCCACGCCAGGGGAAAGAATGTCTCACCTTTTGACATGGTATTGGAGCCCAGTGAACTTAATTTGCGTGAAGAGCCATGTTTAAAGGGAAGGTAGACCAAAAAGGACATGCATAAAGATAGTAAGAAATGATTTACAAATGGTGAATAACTTTAAATAAAACAAGATTCATATAATTGGGATAAAAGGCTTGAACGATGATGATGATGATGATGATGATGACCTCACGACTTAGTAGGTTCAACAGTTCCTGAATATGGTATTAGAGCCTTTTTCACCAAATAGTCTATTGTTTTCGTCACCTCATGGTAATTAATTAAATTTTAATAGGGCCTGTACTTGAAAATAAACCTTTTTAAGTTGAACGAATCATTGACAGAGAGACCTTAGGCCGAAAATTGATGTACCAAAGTGGGGCGAATTTATTCGTATGCTCTACAATAATATTTTCAGAACATCAAATTAATGCTCTTAACTTCTGGATACATAATTAATATATTACCTAATACAGCCAAATCAAAATGAGAGAATGAACTTAAAGCTTATTCGAGTAGCTTAGCCAAACAAGAATTCTCGGTGGTTGGAAACGAGATGATTCTAGGAGGATTTTGGGCCAACAATTCCATTTTCAGTCCAAGAAATTGCAATCAATCCACAGATGTAATGACATTGGATGATGAATCAAGCACATGTAGCTGCAATAGCCAATGGTTCTACTAAAGGGTTCTTCTTGCTCAGCCCATCTTCGCTGCTCAGTGATTCTACTATCGAGTTTGTCTTGCCCATCTCGCCATTGCTCACTGGCTGCTGCTGCTGCTCCACTCCCTCTTCTTCTCCCACCGCCTTGACCACAAATTCATCGAAGCACTCATCCACAGTCTGGAATGGAATGTCTGGGAAAAGGGAGGTCACCTCGACCTCGTTCGGCCCATCAATGGAGAAGTTAATCTGGCAACCCTTGATGAATATGTCGTGAGTCAAGGACGCAACAATACTGCTCGGGATGCAATTCTCTGCAGATATCAGGAAGCCATTAATGCTGATGAATGATGATCAATCAATAACAAGTTAACAAACAGTGAAGAAGATCAAAGCAGAAGAAGCCGTTCAAGAATTATTATCTCACCTTCTGCAGCGGCAAGTAAATCGTTCTCTGTGATGGTAACTCTAGGGAGGGTCCTTCCGATCTTCCTCTCCCACAAACAAGCAAGCTCATTGATATTTAGTCGGTTGCAGGGTGGCCGGAAATGGACTGATTTGTTGAGGGTGCGGATGTCATCAACAGTTTTTATGGTGAATTTTCCGATGTCGGCACCGGTAACAAAATAAGCTGTGCAATACACAGAGGACCACACCGTAAACATGGCTCATTGCTATTAAGTTTTAAGCACAAACAGGCAAGAAAATTCATACTACTACAACCTGCAAGACCCAGAACAGTAACTAAAAGTAGAATAACAGAGTCTAGAAGAAGGTTGGGAGCCCACCAAGATTGGAGAGCCCAGTGGGCCGAAAAGTACTAAAATTAGTTTGTTGGGCACGTGCAGTGTATTTGTATACTAAACCCCATCTTCTATTCTGGTTTCTTGTTTCTGCTACAGACAAAACCCTGCCTCTATTAATGCTATTGTATTAAAATCTCATTTGGAATCAAAATCCCCTCTATGAATTGACAGGACATTTGGATTTTCTTTAGTAAATGAATGACATCTGGATTGGATTATGTTCTCATTTGAGGAGGAGAACAGGAAAATAAGAATACTTTATTAGAAAATGAAACCAAAAAATGCGCTTATGGTGTGGAATGGTTGCTCTACTTGTAATGGTGGTAGGTGAGAATCCGATAGTTTCTTATGTTTTGTGATTTTGATCTCTCTCTCTCTCTAAACAAAAGAAAAAAATTGACGAAGTACCAAAAACATTTGATTTTCAAATTTTATCTTGACCAAAAAGGCTTCACTGCAAAACAAAAAAGTAATTATATACCTTCTTTTCCTAAAGAAAAGTCCCAAACATAGTCTTTTTTCCATTAATTATAAATGTATCCTTACACGTGCCCCATTTATCAAATTAATGTCTTTCTTTCCTAACCCAATAAAGAAACAAAAAAAAGAGTGCCCTTGTTTTCCTTTCTGTTGCTTTTGTGCATGGTTTTTAAAACTTAAGTAGTGATCGAACCGGTCAGGGGTCCGGTTACTGGTTCAAACAGTCCGATCATTCAACTCGAACAGCCAGTCCATTTTGATAAAAAAAAATTAAAATTAAAAAATTTGAAAAATGATCAAAACCGTTTGAATAGTTTAAACGGTTAACTGGCCGGTTTAGCAGTTTGCTGATTCAAATCAACGGTTTTGGGGGAAAAAGTGGGTTTGGGGAAAAACGGAATCAATCAAATGACCGGTTCTCAGTTTTTCTGGTCCGACCGTCCGGTCTAATCCGATTTTGAAAACCATGCTTTTGTAGTCCCATTTGCAACACCCAAAAAGAATCCTAACACTATTTTTCCCCTATGGGAAAAGGATTGGTGGAAGGCAGATTTTTATATTCTTACGTAATTAATCAAAAATGAATACACCAGTACACCTAGGGCCTATTGAACACACATCACTTGTATGTTTCCTACCCACAAAACACTACCCTGTACATATCTCCCCATGCATAACACCAAATAAGAACGTGATATATTCTTAGGGTAGGTACACTTGACGAGCACACTAAGCACAATGAGTATGGGACATATATGTCTCACTCAAGTTTTCTCTCGATTCAACTGGTGAGAATCAGTTTTGCGCTCGGGCAAGCGCCTTCGGACCCCGAATTTAATCCTCACAAAAATTGTTGTCACACCATCCTCACAACACTTGGCCATGCATTTGAAATATTTTCTATATTTATATTTTTTTCAAGACAATGTGATAACAAATTTACTAAATCCAGATTCTTCACGTTTCATTTTGAGTTGACACACTTACTAAGCAATGTATACTAAGAGTAGGATACATTTTTCACGGGACCACCTCCTTCGTATGGTTTTCTCGGTGACGAATTGACGATACTCTTTTCATGCCGGAGTTTGAATAGTTTACGGTTCTATTCGGCCAATTGGGATCTGCTCCTCACTGAGCATACCTCACAAGTCACAACTACATCGCATCTTTATTGGAAATGTGACCGGATCTGCTCCTAACAAATGGGCGTCTCACATATATACTTACTATGCATTGAGAACATCTCCTGTGAATAATAATTGATAAATATGAAAGATGATATCAATGCATAATAAGATGTGCGTGTGAGGCGCCAGGGGTGAGGAGCAGATCCAGTCTCATTGGAAATATTTTCCATGATAAATACAAGTACGAAAAATATTCTAGGATAGGGCATCCTGTGAGGTCGTTGTGAGTCCCTATGTAAGGAGCGGATCCAGAATTATTCCAGACTCACTCGGACCACCCACTGAAATAGTAAATTTCTATACACGTGTCATTCAATTAAATCTTGTTCCACCAGACTCCACTTTTTCAAAGGCAGGAAGAGGCGAGAAGATCCGTGGATTTGAGGGGACACACTTGTTTATGTAAAGACTCTAGACCGTTTGATTAGAACCTTTTGATCCTGATGTGATGTGGAAACAACAATAAAATAATTATAATCATAATTATGTGTTCGTAGGGACTTACTAAGGAGATACAATACCTTTGACGGTTCCATCACCGTAGATCTGGAAGTGATCCAACGGAGGAAGAACCTCGGAAGGGTGAGTGTTGTTGTAGTAGGGCCAAGCGGCGATGGAGTTGCAGCAGATGTAGGTGAAAGGTATGCTGGCGGCTTCTGTCATCCGTCGAACACGGCGTTTGACGTTGTAGAGGGTGAGCCCTGGTTCTACGGGATCAGCTCTATCAATGTCATGCCCGAATTCCGATGGCAAAAATCTCTGTCCCACATAATAAATAGCACGATTAATATTAATTTATTTCCCACCCGAAAAAAAAATAAGAAAAAATAAATAAGTTGTTATTCCGTCGTTCGACAACGACGACAGGTAGCGAATCTACGCACATTGCGTACGTTAGCTGTGTGGAGTATGGACTATGGAGTTTAGCGAGGTGAGCTTTGTGTTTTGCACTGTTACCTTGATGGTTCCGACCGATTTCATGGCGTCGATGAGGGTAAGCTGGGCTAAAATTTTGTCGCCACCTATAGCTGATATCACCACATCGATCTTGTGCTCCTTCAGTATCTTCTCCATCAAATTTTGGTCGCCGATGCTCCCCTGAAAAGTTAATACATCAGATGGAAGTTTGCATGGTCAGACAAACTGAGATTCTTAGACAGAGAGAGAGAGAGAGATGTACGTGAAGAATGATGGCTCCTTTGTCTTGCAAAGCTCTGATAGCTTTGGCCTTGGAAGGGGAGTTGGAACCGGGACGGACGAGAATATAGGTGGGTCTGCTGGAGGCGAGGCAAGCTTCGGCGATGAAGCCACCGATGAAACCGGTGGCACCGATAATGAGTGTTCGAGTACAGTCAGCCTTGGGCATCTTTTTCTCAGCTGTGGAGCTCTCGGTCACCTCTTCTTCTGGGCAAACCCTGGCCATCTTTTTCTCTGGGAAGCTCTCGGTCACCTCTTCTTCAGGGCAAATCCTGGCCATCTTTTCTGCCGGGCCATTCTCTGCCAGCTCTTCCGGGCAGACCTTAGCCATCTTCTCTGCTGGGAAACTCTCGGCCATTTTTGTTTTTTTTTTTGTTGTTCTTGCGCTAATGTCTACTGTTGGTTGAGAAGGAAAACGAAGCTTATAAGTTTTATCAAGAAAAATAAAAAGGGTTTTTATCTGAAACACCCCCTCTCTCTCCTTGGTCCACTCACTCCTCCAGTCTGCTAGCTTCTACTTCTCGTACGTAAGAGACTAGAAGAAAGAGAGAGAGAGAGAGAGAGAGAGAGAGAGAGAGAGAGAGAGAGAGAGAAAGACACAGAAGGAGACAAGGAGATCTGGATGAGGGTGACGAGAAGGAGAGAGTGAGAGAATAAATAAAGGCGAGAGTCCGAGAGACGGAGGGAATTAGATGATGGCTTTGAATCTAAGCTAACCCCCAGAGGGCGAAGGGCTGAAGAACACGACCGAACAGTCTACACTTAACTCTTAACTCTACCCCCGATAAACGTAAGGGATTATTAGTAGTGTTTATGCCTCAAATGTTTGTTGTAGATAGCCCCCAATTCAACCCCATTCTCTGGAATGAAGGGTAGGTGGCGTCGTGGCGAGGGTGTGGGTCTTGCTTTTGGGTTTTGGACTTTGGACTTGTAGATGAACGACGACACCATAACCCCACACCGGCCCAACCTCGTGTCCGTCCGGGTCCACTCGACAAATGCTCCGAGTCCATGTAAGTGTGTAACCCATCAGGTCTAGACAAGATGTAAAATGTGCTTCTAGATTCTTATTCCTCCTCAACCCACTTTTGGACTTTGGACTTGTAGATGGACAACACACCGCTCAACACGATAAATGCTCCGAGTCCACAAACCCACCAAGTCCGGACATGATGGCAAATGTGCTTCAAAGTTCAAACCACATATTAGTCGTAGCAATACATTTAGTTCTGCGCTACGACACCATATATCTTACCAAAAGTGAATTCATTTGTCCTCGTTCGTTCGTTCCTCAAGGAGAAGAATCATAGCAGTTAATGGATCGGGTCTAGTAATAAGACCAAACCGATTATGTTGGTTCTAAACTTCTAATTATGAATTTTCTGCCCCGATTATAGTTATGTTGGAAACTTGGGATCATTTTTTCTTTTTCTTTTATTTTTTAATACATTTGTATAAGACCCATACCAATTATGTAATTTGGGGTTAATTTGTATTCCAGTTTGATTTTCAATTATATTGGGTAAAAATTCATCGTTGTACCAAAAATGAAAGTAAATCTGTTTTTTTTTTCCTGAATTTTTTGCATTCAAAATGATAGCAAATGTTTGCTTTCAAGAAAGGGAAGCAAATCTTGGCACTCAAAATTGTTAATATAGAAAAGGTAGATTTTGGTCTTGACATTCGTGTTTATATTCATCACAACCAAATACAATAAAACCATTACATTCTCACTTTCTGACCAAATTTACATTTGCATTGTGCTTTTCGCAACCATGGTTTAGTTGATAAAGTTCTCTATATTGGTTGTAAAATAGACTTGGGATCAAATCCGTAGTCACCAACCAATTCAGTTTAGCTGGATTCTTCCAGTATAGATGCCGATTTGGAATCCTGGAACCGCTGGTTGCGCAGCCTTATAAAAAAAAATGATACATATGCTTTTTGCTTTCTTACCAAACAGCATAAGGTATCTGGGTTTTAAGTATATAAGAAGGGTGGGCCTTGGCACAAAGGTTGGATTCATCCATTGCAACTTGGGTCATCAGAATTTAAATCTTGAAAGCAGCCTCTCACTCTGATATATATATATATAAAAGTAAGACAGGGTACACTATTCCGATGGTTCACACGTGACCGTCACATAGCTATAGGTTCAGACCTAGATGGCAAATGTGCCTACAAATCCTTATTGTCCAATGACAACTCATGGGCTTGCATGGTACCTTGACGTCAGCATGGATATTAGGTAAAAAAAGTAATTATAATTAGGATTAAATGGGCACATGAATTTCCTATAATACCCTAAGTTACTATTAGAATTTTCCTGCTGCCCTAAAAAACAGGGGCGCACAGCTTTTGACTCTCACCCTAAGGCTAGTTCGTTTGCTTTGAAGTTTTACATCTGAAAGTGTAATAATTACATTAAGAGGTATATTGGTATTAGTGAACTTTTATTTCCTCTAAACTCTGAATGTAGATAATGTTGCTCCGAATTCTAATGTTAAATGTTTAATTTAACCTCATATAACAGAATTTTTATTTATATATATATATATATATATATATAATTCAATAAATAAACAATACTAAAAATATTATAAAAAATATTAATGATTAATAATTACTATTAGTAATTAATTAACAATAACTAATAATAACTATTAATAATTAACAATAAATTAATGATTACTCATTAATTATTAATTAATTATTTTATGATTAATTAATACTTATTATTATTAATTAATATTTATTATTAACAATAATTGATTAATTAATTAATAATAAGTAATAATAATTAATTATTACTATTATTAACTAATTAATGAAATATTATTAATAATTCATTAATTAATAATTAATATTTTTATGATTAAATAATACATACTATTAATGATTCATTAACTATTATTAATAATAATTGATTGATCAATTAATGAATAACTATTATTAATAATAATTGATTGATCAATTAATGAATAACTATTATTAATAATTAATTAACCACTATTAATAATGATTGATTGATTGAATAATTATTACTTAATTATGAATTATTATTATTATTAATTAATGAAACTATATGATTGTAATTAATTATTTTCTATTAGAATATTACTATAACATATTATAATGAATATTATAATATTAGTATTATGAATATTATATTAATAGTATTTCAATAATAATAATAGTTTATTATTATTACTATTCATAATTTATAATACTATTTAATATAAATAATTCTTGGTTTCATTATAATATTATAATTGGTAAATAATATTTTAAATAATTAATTAGCTATAATAATTAAAATAAGCAATTATTAATAGCCCTATAAGACAATAATGAATAATATAGTTAATAAACTATTATTATAATAGTATAATATGAATATTATAGCATATTATAATATTACATTATAATAATATTATGGGAAAAAAATTGGTGGTGGGTCCCATGGGCCTTCATATGAGATGTTATAAGTTATTGAGCACTAAAGGGGCTAAAATCCATGACGTGATTCATTTATACTTCTTGGGCTATCATTAGGCTCCCAACACAAAGTGATACGAAACCACTTCAGTGTTAAGAGATCAGAGGCACCGAAAAGGGCCTAAGTTACTTCACTCTCACCTGCAAGAGTTCATTAATGGTGGATCCTCCATCTGCACGTGGCCGCTTCCTACATTTAGTTAACATTCAACTGTAATCAGCAATTTGCAATGGCTATCAAAGAAATGTAAATATCAAGGATTATTTTATGTCTAAAACCTAGTTAATATATAATTTACACACTATTTGGCCAGTAATTAAGTGTTAAGTAATTTATTTAATTAATTAACATTAAATCCCGGTTAACCCAATAAATTTACGATCACCAGGAATATAAGACTCAGAGCTATATTGTGCATTGGTAGTGATAGGGAGGGGACGGAGGATGTTATCTTTTATGTGTTTGGTTCAGTTTATGTTTATTAAATAAATATTTATATTTTATTTGTTAGTAAAATAAAAAAATTCAATAATTATAATCGTTTATGACAATTGAGTATCAGTAGGCACCACTAAGTATCACTTCAACGAAATAATGAATAAATATCTAATCGTTTGTAAAAACTTCAAAAAATAATTTTTATACATTGATATATATATAAACCAAAATTCATTTTTTTACATTTTCAATGTACGATACAAAACAAGAAAGTAATGAAATAGCACCTATGCGACACCATCAATAAACTGAATAAACCTAAACGATACCAAACATCACCATATCGTTGACCAACGTAAAACAACGAATATACATATAATATTTGTTAGACTGCTAGGAGACAAATTAAATAATTAATGTTTTGTTACCCTACTGACTTGGAATGTTTTGCTCTTAAATGGGGGCAATGGATGTGCTCTGATGGTTTGAGTGGATTCGGGTCTGACCTTATTTGGATCCGAAGATTGGTAGATAGGAATTGGGGCTTGAGTTCATGGGCAGCCAAGTTATGGCAGAACTAGGCAACGAACCAAACGGGGCCTGAATGTGACGATTGGGTTGGGGGGGTAGGGGTGATCATGTGCGGGGCCAGGCCGGGTTTTGCCTTCATAACAACAGGCTTAGGTTAGACCTGGGCTCGGCCCAGCCTGCATTATGAGCCTAAAAAAATAAGGGTTGGGCAGGCCTAAGATTCCAAACCCAATTATTGTATTCGGTTCCAAAATTAAATAATTGTACTTTTTTTTTCATTTATTGCTGTGGAGACTATAGTAACCCTAAGAAACTTTAAACTTAATATCAAGATAAAAGATTCTAAATAAAAGAAAGTAAATAATTATACCTTGTAATTTATAAGTTTCAATTGGTCGTTAGTATGCTAAAAATGATAATTTTAACAAACCAAATTTTCTATCAACAAAAAATCAACCTAGAACATATAATATCTATCAAAAAATAATCATCCATGTCATATAATTTCCACAAAACAACTTTAAACATCTCTATAAGGGGCTCCATCTTCCATTCAACTCCTACAAATAAAAAGTGAAATAAATAAGATATTAGCAAAGTAAGAAAAAATAATTCAAATTAATGTAAATAAATAAATAATAAAATATTGATAATGGTTTCAATTTTACCAAAAACTTGCAACCACTCTAAACTTCAGATTTATCTTCATCACTAGAAGATTCATCTTTTGGAGAGAGATTGGGCGACAGTGGTTTTGTGAAATTGGTTAGAGAAAGAGAGGCAAGAAGATTAGGGTTTAGTAATTTTTTTTATGAATTTTTATATTTCATTAAATACTATATTAGAATTTGGTAAGATCTAAGACCGCATGATTAAAACCTTTCTCCTACAAATCTCTATTAATATCTATTTAATATATAAAACATCAATTATTAAATATTCTTAAATAACATATATGCATAAAGATATATATATATATATATAATATTATTTATAAATATCTAGGCTGGGCCTAAAAAATTAGGCCCAAGCCTGGCCCTAAATTTTTTAGGCCTAATGTGGGCCCAGGCTTTAATAAAAAACTAGGCCCAAGCCTGGATTTTCCAGGCCGGGCCGGGCTGAAATGATCACCCCTTGGGGGGGGAGTTGGGCCTGGTTAGGTCGGATTGAGCTCAACCCTAATCCTAATCCAACCCACCACAAGTTTCAAAGTATCATATGATACATCCTGTATCATATATATCATGTAACGTGCTGAAATGATCACCAC